CCCCCCCCCCCGGGCCAGTGTTTCAGTCATTAACCCCGTACTGGTACATGTACCCTTTCACTGAGTCAGCTTGCATGTATGTACATCCTACCTGTATGTACATATTGGGTTTTAACTGTTTTAGCTGTTCATAATTAAAATTATGAACAGCTCAAACCCGTAATAGAATTCAATCATGCTGCATTTATAGAGAAATTGAGTCCAGTCTTATCTTTTGCATATCATGATATTGAACTAATTTTTACATTAATTTTAATCAAGTACAATTTGTAAAAAACTGATTGTAATTTACATAGATATTTATTTACTTAACATGTTTATTTAAAATTTATTTTTGTATAATTCAGAAGTTTAAGTTTATTTTGATAAATAAAATATTATAGTCATTTGGTAAAGAATTGGGCATAATAAGATGCCGTTGACGGGCATAGTAAGGTGAATATGCCATAATCTACCATTACCTCAGCCTGCCTCTACATGTTAAAGTACATGTAGCGTCAGACCATTACTGGCATTGTATTGACTAAGGAAGCAGTTATAAATACACGTAATGTTCCCATTATATAAAAGCTGTGATTTGAGTTGAGTTTGAGTTAACATTGCTGTTAAGGGGCGATGGTTAAGTCTGTATAATAAAAGGTTTTACATTATTCAGTTAAACTTGTTGCTACATGTATGACTCCTGTGATTATATATGTTCTAATGTGCTCTTTGATTTGACTAATGGCTAATTTTTTATCAGGACCCAAACTTTCATCCTTGTCATGGATGATTATGACTTATTTTTTATCAATTGGAAATCATTTTTCGAGGATGTTTTAATTTTAACATGGAAATATGTGGCAGACACATCTTTTTTATTATAAGAAATAACATTGTATGAAGTAAAAATAATGCTTGGAGTCGTTACCATTATCATTGTCATTGATTTTCTTTTTAATCTTGTCTAAAACTCCGTAATTTAAACCGGTTTCTTTATCTTGCAAATGTATATACATATATAGTATAATAATCATAACCTTATTACGAAATTGCACTCCATTGGGTTAAAGGTCTACATGGATATACTATGTATATAATGGATATAATGGACATATAATGGACACCTAGTCAACATACACACTGGTTGGTGACACTCTCGGTGCCACACCAGGAATTTGCCCCTGCTTCAACCCTCAAGTACCGAATGCCAAGCAGGTATCAGGGGCGTAACCAGGCATACGCACGGATGCACTGTGCGTACAATTTTTTGAGCCAACCATGATATTATTCTCCATAAATTCAGTGTATTTTTTCACGGAATATAATCGTACCTGGGAATTTTCAAAATCTGTGCGTACAATTTTAAATGGTCTGGTTACGCCCCTGGGTATGTAGCATGCGTGTAGCCTACCGTTTATAAAGCACTGGTATGTCCCCGGACGGGGTCGAACTCACGTCCTCCCGCTCCGGAGGCGGCCACTGGAGGCGGACATCACAAGGTCATCCGGTCGGTCAAATATATTTTGTTTTCCACCGTCTTTGTGGATTTTCAAAGTTGTATAAACCACATTGTTTTGAGACATGGTTTTCTGAATCACTAACGCATTGCGTTAGGAGTGACACTTTTTTGTGCTAGGGAAGTACATGTGCCGGTATATATATATTCTAATATGTACATGTATATTCTATATAGTGCAATACTTATATGCAGAATTAGTGAATCGAACTCCACGAACTAGCTTTAGAAAAACATATCCTTTAGGATATGTCATAAAAAAGAAGAGTCGGGACTAGTAGAGGCAGGGTCTGATTAACGCAAATTAAACGCATGTTTAGGGACCGCAGCCTGGAGGCCAACAAGCTGCTAGAGGAAAGGAATTTAAGGGACATAAAGGTTCAGTAAAATTGAGAAAATGATACTTGTATGGGCGTGATAAAGAAACTATGTGTTCTAGTATGTCTCATTAGTTCTATGTGCACTACCGGCGGTATATGTATAATTAAAACTGATTCCGATTGTATTGTATATAGTTACACTGGCTTTGTCTGCCTTTCCAAAATGGTGGGTTTACTCACCTAAATAATATTTAAAAGAAAAAGCTCACATTACTCTTTGACCCATTTTGTCTCTTAAAACGCGTGTTTCGCTAGAGTAAGAGGTAGAGCTCTGCAAAAAAATGTAATTATTTACCCTACCTAATGATAACAAACACGTGCATGGATATAATTATTAATTGTATCTTTCATTTAATTAGTTGCAAGAAGTTCCTGCTAATCAGTGTTAATGACACAAATGTTAAATGACAAGATACATCAAAAATAAAATGCATTATTCTAACTAAAGTCTCTTATATCTTTGGTAGCATGTTCTTAACCGCAAAAGGGTATAAACTATTGAATGTTAATATAATAATTATATATTTATAAACTGCTCCTACGGAATGCTCTCTAGTGATTAATCACACAGTCATTATATCACAAAAACAATCATTACAAAAAAAAGGACATTTAAAATACACGTGTCGGTCAGAAAGACAAGTCTTTGATAGCGATAATAGGACGTAAAGACTATTTGTCGTTGAGAAGATCGTTTCTTTTTTCTTTTTAAATGAAAGTCGTTGTTCTCGTATCTCAGACGTCAGCGTTCTCAGAATCGCCGGCTTCGTAAATGTCATTATCAACAAAGACGACGTCATCAGCAACATCCGGGTCTTTTGCCGGGTCATAAAAGCCATCATGGTCGCTATCTACTCCCTCATCGTGGTAACTTGATATCATTTTCTTTCGCTTGTCTGGAACTGCATACAAACCGGAGTCATCGTGTGGTATGTCCGATGTAGCCGCAATCACACCGAATGTATTTTCATATTGTGGGTCTATTTGTGCATGACTTGACGGTCCATATACTTCAATTTGCGTAAAGCCCGGATCTCCGGCAAAGTCCGCGATGTGTTCATTGGCATTTAAATGTTCAGAATAGTCTGCATTTTGGTCCAGCATTTTAGTCTGGGCTGTGTTCTTCTTGTTAGTTTGGGCAGTTCCCCTGCTTCGCCTGTTTTCAAATAAAGCGAACAAAGAGTTTTGATGGCGATGCTGACTGTTGGTAAGTTAATCTGGACGTGTGTGTGTGAGCTTGAGAGAGAGAGAGAGAGAGAGAGAGAGAGAGAGTGGCACTCTGCAGCCGCCTTACCTTACAAGATACACAATAGCCACAATAAAAAGAAGCAGAACAATCACGGCAGCACCAACGCCCCCTATTATCCCAGCTTTCTGTGCAGCATTCTGCTCGTTTGCAAGTAACAATACGGGCTGGCCTAAAATATGATAAAATCCAGTGAGAGAAAACAATTTAAAGTAAACAATAAAAATTCAAATGAAAGTAAAAAGAAAGCGATATCAAAGTACTCATATGGGAAAATACAAGCATACTGTGCATGTGAAGTCTCTGTTATCAATATATTATGCTTTGTTTATTCTTTAATTTTTTGATAAAATAATTTTTAAAAAAGAATAGAATTCTTTATGTAATGTAACGCCTATTAATTTAAAATAAATTAATAGAGTACATACTTTTGCAGAACACGGAGATATTTCCAAAACTACCAAACTCGTCACAAGAAATGAGCACAGAATCTCGTCCATCTTGGAACGTGTATCCTGGCCGACATGTCAGGTTAACGGTGTCTCCATAATAATAAGGTCCTGGCTTGTACAATACACGGTCGTTGGTCTCTGGTAGAACGCAGCTCCTTCTGGAGCACTGAGGGGTAAATGACCCGTTTACACCACAGGTTACCCTGCCTTGGGACGCGCCATTTGGGAAAGAGTACCCCTTAATGCAGTTGACATCTACAACGTCCTCAAAGAAATAGGCTGCCCCTTGTGTTAAAATAGAAGTAATATCGAACCACTGATCTGTTGCCGGAATGTGGCATTGCCTTCTCATACAATCTGGTAGAGTTGGGGAGAAGTTGTTGTTTTCGCCACATTTTATCACCGCAGTAGTCGTATTGCTTGGGAACTGAAAACCCTGTCTGCACTGAATGGTAATACTTTGTTCAAATGGGACAAAACTGATATTGCTTGGTATGGCATTGGGAACCATTGGAATAGCACAATATATCAGTTGACAAGACGGGACGGGTGAAGAGAGGCGACCATCTGACTGACAGTGAACTCTGAGTGAGGTGCCACCACTTGGAAATTGATATCCTTCGTTACAATATACATCAGCATTATTTCCATAGCTTAAATACATGTCGTCGGCATAACTATTAGGACCGAGGTTATTGAGATGACATCTTACAGGCTGGCAGTTTGGAATATGCGTGGTATTTAGCACGCCATTTTGCTGGCAAAGGACATACACTGTTCTTTCAGCAGATGGCAGCTCGAACCCAGTGGAACATGTGTAAGTGATGACGTCATGGCCGTATATAGTCCCTGTTTTACTGGCGTGAATATTGTCACCGGTCACCGGTGGTTGACACGTCCTGTAGCACGGCGAGAGGGTGCTGTATTGTCCGTTATCTTGACAGATGGTAGTTCTGGTTGTTGACGTGAGGCTATCTCTGAAACTGTAACCAGACTGACAGCTGTACGTTAGGTGTTCTCCAGGCCACCGTGCTCGAGATACAGCGTAGATATAGCGAGTGTCAAAAGGCGTCGCACTGCACATTACTGTAATGTATTGTGAAAATCTTAAAAGTTTTATTTTATCGATATGAAAATGCACCGACAGACATCATATTCGCCACGAAAGCAAAAACATATACATGGAAAGAAAATCAACCACATGAATGTTGTACTCAAATGTATAAAAAAAACTCAAAGAATTTAATAAACAGGATCTATAAAAAGAGTTTAAGCATCTTATATGTATTTCCATAGGGTAAACGATAATGTGAAGACATGCTCTCCTTAGAAATATGCCTAAGTCCAATATTTATTTGCTTGGTAAGACTGGAAACAAAAATTCAAAAATCCTGAAGTCGCGTGCATAACCCTGTAAACTTATCTTGTGCAATCTCAGTTGTTTAAAGGGATAACAACTCTCTGTATGAGATTCATGTTTCACAATAAACAAATTACAGAAATATAACAATATTCCAATTTGCCACCAAAACGGCGCTTATCGCAATTATTCTGGAATCTGCGCTTGCAATAGAACCACGTGACTCATAAATGGCTACTCTCCGTATAAATCTCTTGAGAGATTTTTAAAAAACCAAACTTAAAAAAAAGCACACAGAGAGCACAGACCTCCGCCAAGGCAGCAAAGTCTCCATCCAATGCCGTTTTACCCCTACATTTTCGATATTTTTGATTATTGATTGATTATTGATCTGGATCACCACCAAAATCAAATCATCTGTTCCTAGGCCCACTTCTGACAGTTTCTGAAAATTTCATCAAAATCAGTCCATAACTTTTTGAGTTATGTTGATGACAGACAGACAGACAAACAAACAGGGGTGAAAATATAACCTCCTTGGCGGAGGTAAAAAACATGGACTTCACTCTAAATTATTGACCCTACCGATAAAATCGGTTGACTTGAAATCAGTAACAAACATTATTCGGTTATTAATCAACCAGTCGATTGGTCAACATGGCTACCATGTGGATCGGTTATTGAATAACTGATCTGAGGACATTTGACAGAAATATCGATAAACTGTAAGGTAATTCTACAAACTTGTTAAATCTTGTTTATGTATATAAATATATAAATATATATATAATATGTATATAAATATATATAATCTTGTATTATTATTATTATTATTATTATTATTATTATTATTATTATTATTATATCAATGTACGGTAGGTACTACCTACCGATCATTAATCAGTTACATCAACCGGATTATTAGTTGGACACATATTGAACGGGTGAATCGGTTGGTTTTAATCTTTTTTCAGTTATTTTTAAACGAAGTGATTTTAGAGTGTAGCTTTGAATGTCGGAACGGATTCATTGGCCATTTGTAAGGAAAATCTTCGTTTACCCCAGAAAAATCCATTTTGTGACCAAAACGAACAGTTGTTATTAATTAAATTTTATATGCGAAACATGCATGAAATTATATTTTATAAAAAAGAGTAAACGGGAATAAAGAGTCTTTTAAACGGAATTTTGTCTACGTCTACTGCATGGGTTAACTTACCGCAGGTTTTCAGTTTATAATGCATAACGTTGTTAGAAGCAAGTGGTCTGCTACAGGCAGTCGTCGAGTGATGCCAGCACGTTCTAGTACCGATGTCCCAGTCAATGGCAGAGCATTGCGTAGACGTATTACAGCCCTCCAGGCATTCTATAAGGCTTGATGACCAAACTTGTCGAGCTCCTTTGGCATTATGGTCTGGGTATACGCTGACGACAAAATTTGGTTCTGAAAGTAAAAAACGAGAAAATCCAAAGATAGTACACCAATTTTTTTTTTATTATATGCTGTGTAGTGTTGATGTAAAAAACGAGAAAATCCAAAGATAGTACACCAATTTTTTTATTATATGCTGTGTAGTGTTGATGTTCCATCTTTCAGTAGAATTTGAGAGTCTACTTTCAGCATATGGGTGCTATTGAATGACAGATAAACAATTTGTGAAATCATATCTTATTACATGCACCAATAGGCTACATTATATCGCAGGTTATATATTTGCTAGACAGTTATAGATGGCTCAATGCAATGAAATATACGTACGTCCACACACAGGGGTATTTCCACTAAAGAAGTAATGACGCTGGTATCTGCTTTGGACATAATCCCATCTACCGGTACATTGCCTCTTTAAGTCGCCAGCCAGGTGCACGGCAGGCAATGTACATGTGTAGGTAACCAAAGTCCAGAGTGAAACTCGAGGCTGTTGAGGGGAATGCGTAGAATTTGCCACTGTTTGCACTTCACAATCTGAAGATGACATTACAACATGACAACTGTGATGTTAACTCACGCTAGCGGACCTTAAGCCTCATTCACAACAGTGACTAGTCAGTAACTAGATCAAATACGGCAGCCAACCTTAAATATTGTCGTCTAACCCCCTAATCGACACTTATAGATTCCTTGTGGGGATTACGCAACAAGCAATCGAGTGAGGCGGCCATATTTGATCCGCGGACTTGTTAGTCCGCTGTTGAGAATGCATCTTTAAGTAAAAAAAAAAACAACCCATCTTTTGAGGCAAAGAAAATATTGGTGATATAAAACAAGTGGTTTTGGGGCATTTGGCGCACTGTGTCACCACACCCCTTTTTAAAGTGATTATTGGTTAAGATCGCGAAAATAGACGCAAAAAATTAATTGTGTTATTTAAGATAAACATTCTAGACATTTTCTGAGACGTTAGACATCATTCTCGCTCCCTGCCAAGTTGCAGATTTTCTTCTGTATCAAATATTAAAGAATGAAGAATGTGAGATGGTGCTGTGAGCGGCAGTACCGAAGGTTTGAAATTTAGTTTTTATGTGAGAACAGATATAATAAATCTAGTAATTACTTTTTTTAGTTTTAAAGTTGCTTGACTGATGATTACAATAAAGTTCCACTTGAACAAACAATTTTCCACTCGTTTACTTTTAATAAATAAAAAAATGTTAAATGGATTTATATTAAGGTTCCCATGCCTAGATCGATCCAACAAGATCGATATATCTCCATGGGGATTCACGCTAAATTGCTATCAACTTAAGCGGCTTAAATGTTTGTCACGCCTACCGAATCGGCTAGAGGGTAATTAAATTTCGTGCGCGCTCAGCCTCCGGTAGTTTATCACCCCCTAGCAGCTTTAGACATAGATAGATCGATCCAAAGTTAGTACAATAGACTCTGGGCATGGTCCCTAATCATCGAATCCACATTTAACTCGAAAGGACTTTTTATCCGCATGATAACTGTGACATTGGATTAAGAATGGTTTTGGATAAAATATACTAGTATGTGTCCCTCAGTGATTGTAGAAAAAAATTAAAATTCCCAGGAATATAAAATTATTGCTTTTGTGCCTATAATGAAAGGTTATCACCTACCTGCATTATTCTGCTTCCATAGCAATGCTGTGAAAAAGAATGTGATTATTGTTGATACGGGGTCAGAGCAAGGAATCCCTGTCTTCATTTCTAAATAGTAACCAGGTTATTTACACAAAATCATTTGCGGTCGGGTGGCCTGCATTGTAGAAGTGAACTGAAAAAGTGAAAGAAGAGAAGAAAATAGGGCACAGTATAGAGAGCATGTATTGTTAATACTTGATAAATTACAGTACCCAAGTTTAGTAGATCAACGCATTTTTGTGAAATAACTGCGGTTAATTTGCCTATCTCGTTATGAATAATTACAGGGGGTATACCACTCAAATGGAGTGTCAATAAACTAAAACCCGGCGGAAGTTGACATTGTAATTGTAGCATGTTATTGGATATGTGAAAAATTTTCTTTTTTCTTTACTTTTTCTTTATTTCTTTCTCTTTTTTATTTTTTGTTAGCTTCTAAGAGCAAAAATTCTCCCTCTCCTTTCCTCCACACGTGAACGGGACATCACTAATACATTATAAAATACCAGCCTTACGCAAAAGTAAGTTTATTTTAAAACTATGTATAATATTAAACCTGATCATGTTGAATCTCTATGGCGGCAGAGAGGACACGTTCATAACGCGACTGAAATGTGAAATTCGCTCATACGGCCTGGAAGACTCGGTGCAATCTGAACCAGGAACAGGAACTAGCTCGCAAATTGATATTGCGCTGAACAAGGAAGAATTTTTCTTCTTCTAAGGGTCACATATGGGTGGAAACTAACACGTGTTATCAGCATTCTTCTGGCGTCCCACTACGGAAGGGGCACGTATGTTGATAACAGAGCCAGAGGATAGTCTCTAGTTACCCACAGAACCCGGTTGGCTATAACTACCAGTAGGCCTACCACATGTACAGTTCATGTACATACATGTACATCTAGTAATTAGACTTCTGCCCATGTACTAGTATTCATTAAAAATAGAATAATGTGAGTGCCTTTCACCCTATCCGTGTAAACATATTGCAGGTCCCTGACTGACAAGCATAAATTAAGTTGAAGGTTGTTTTTTACTTGAACGCTGGTATTTTTTATCTAGGCTTACTTTGACCAAGAATAAATATGAAGTACTTAGTCTATCTCTTATTATGTCCAAAGTCTATTTTATCTGGGGGGGGGGTTAATGTAAAAATGTGTATGACCGATAATTTTTATTTTACAGTCTACGGGTCTACTGTCAACTTCCCAAACTTTTTGAGTGAGACGAGTCTCAGGCCAGACCCGTATAAAAAATCTGACTACTATACACCTTATACTGGGGACGTCTATAGTAAAACCTACAAACAACAATCACATACAACTAATAACCAAGAATGATATTATAAACTTACGTACGTCTGCATAGAGTCAGCCTTCAAACCCCTTACCTTCTATTTTTGCTTTCGCTACTGATAATGCCACGAATTGACGCCACTGGGGTCGTCAAATAAAACTATGATTCACAGGCGGATGTAGGTCGCTGGCAGTGCATTACTCAATATGACACGGAAGCCGCCACTTTCAAATGTAGGACACTGTTTATTTTCTCTCCGCCGTATTAAGCTATGTACTCCCGGGCTTGGCTTTGTTACTACAGCGTTTCTGTGCCCT